AATTTTAAAAACTGTAAATACTAAGTAGTAGAGGTGGGCCAAACTCAAAAATATGATTTCAACTGAACTCAAACGAACCTTTCAATAGTATGTCGAACCGAACATGAACCGAAAAATTCAGTGTGATGTCGAACTCAATTCGAATGATAGGTTTACCAAACATTTTGCTTAACACCAAAATAAATTCGAACCAAGCTTTTGAATTAAATTAGAATGAAACTTCTTTAAAATCTTTTAAAATGTATGTAAAATCCAAACTTCGCTTGATTTTCGTTGCCTTTCATAGTTAAAACTAACATTTTAAAAATTTTTTATTTGCAAAATTGTAACTTGTTAGCTTCCGATGTCGTAAACTTTCTACCCACTGTGCAGTTTTGATAATTGTTACTAACCTTCTTCGCTATATTACAATTATAATCCCTGTGTAATATATTCGCATATTGCAATGCGATATTAATCAGATTTTAATATTATTGTTTCATAGAAAAAACTGGAATATGTGGAATATGTTTTGATAATTGTTTACGCTTTGCATTGTTGCAATATTGAAATGAAACATTATGTAGTTATAAATATATTAACATCATGTTGGTATTGTTATAAGTATTTTAAGTGACATAATATTATGTACAAGGATATAATATCACCAAAAAAGTTTTTCCAATATCGTATACCTTTTTTTTGTTTCCTTGTGGCATAACAACATGGGGGCGAACTGTTTTTACACAATATGGCTTTACCTATGCAGCATCGTTTATTAAAATCAATAATTTTTACAACTTTGATATTCCCCCATTGGCCGGGATCTACTTTCCTCAGAGGCGCTGGTATGTATACATAGACCACAGAGTCATGAGAGCTTACATTAATTAATAAAAAGTTCTAGCCCACAATGGGATAAATGGGACATGTCCCATCTTATCGCTCCATAGAAATTATTTACAGGTAATTATATTGTTTTTACAGTCTTCTCGGGCCGACCTAAGTCCGACACTCTAGACATCGCATTCAGAAGGTCTTCGAAGATAGGCCCACACAGGATGTCCGGCATATCTTCGACCTCAGGAGGGCGACCTAGGTGTTTAAGCATGATCTAGCGGTGAAGTTATAGTGCTGGAAGCACATGTGGCCTGTTAGCAACTGAGTCGTTTGATACGTCCACGGTATCTTTGGGACAGTCCTGTTTTCCCATCTTAAGATGTTCGAAACGAGACGGTGGGTCCAAGCACTCCAAGCGGCCTTGGTGAAACGGATCCACCTACTATGCCACATTGCTACTCGTCGATTGTATTCCTCATCACAGCTTTCTCAATCCTGGCTTTCGAGATTATTGGAGTGCCACTCGGTACGGGTACTTGAGACGCACTGACCTTAATTCGGTTCCTCTCAGCAGTCAGCGGCGACGAGGTCGACAATCAATTACCGCCTTGTAAGCACTGATCGTCCACACGGCCAGAGGTTCGTCATTTTCATCGACTGGAGCTCCCTTACGTATACAATGGTTCAGTGGTGTAGCTAAAACTATCATGATTCGTGAAGTTTAATTAGTTCAATATTGAAATGCACTTTATTATAGTAGGTAGGTATTTAATTCGTTTTAGTATTACATATATTAGGCAAGCAAATAATTTTGTACTGAAGTACCTACTGTATTATTATAGTGGCATATTATAGCGTACAATATAGATATATTATTACTTATTATAAATTATTGGAAACTCTTATTTTTTAATAATCAAACTTAATATTAATATTGACATCTTTTTAAACAATACCACTGCATTACTTTTAGGAAATTATGATTGAACATTATTTTGATTTAAAACGTACCTATTATCGTATTATTATAATTTTAAATTTTTATATAAATTACTTACACTATTGATTATAATTTATATCTAAAATGTAGTTTTATAAATTAAACTTTAAATATCCTTTGGGTTAAATGGTATTAATTCAGCATATTTGTCTTGTTCCTGAAACAAACAAAATCCATATTTTACATTTAAAATCCGTTATATTATCTATAAAACCCAACATTCTTAAAAAATATATATTTGTTTGAATATCACCTAAATTTAAACTAATATTTAATCATAACATGCCACTTTTAATATTTAAGGTGGTATGAATATCTTCTGGATCAAGTGAATAATGTACCTATAAACTATAATATGCCATGTACCTACAGTTTTTTTCTATTTTCCATATTTCATAAATGTTGGATAAGAATAAAATAACCAATCTCGTATAGTTTTAACGTATGAAAAAGATTACTGTTGAGGTACACCAAGGCCAATTTATTTTTCTTATGAATTGATAATATTAACTGAAATGATTTTTTCTCAGATTTAAAAATAAAAAATAAAAAATTTTGAGAACTGAGTGTTCAATTAATTGATAATTGATAAATTGATATTATAAAATATCTATTTTAAATACCTTGTCACCATAAAGTGCAGTATAGGTATGTTATGTTAGATCATACTAACATATTATTATTATAATTAAAATATATTTAGGTGATTCAATAAATATATTTAAGCATTAATCAAAATTAATGTGCGTCAATAAAAACATTTTTAAGTTACTCAGAATATACTTTTACCAATACATTCTACCATTCTAGCAATTATTATATAAAACTAATTAACTAAATTACAAAATGCTTATAAATGTCTAGAATTCTATGAATATAGTTTAAAACCACAGACTTCTATACATCTATATAGTATAGAATACTGAAACTGTGTTTAAAACTTACTGTGGTTAAGTGGATATTCATATCAATGGTACGTCTCACTAAAATAAAAAAATAAAAATTCATAAGCAGTTTGGTTTATTATATTATTAAAAAATGTACATTAAAAATTCACAACATCGGTAATTAACCTAAGTACATAAATATTGTCTCCGTATCTACACACCAAAATAATCACCATAGAAGCATTAGACATTTATTTGTGAAAAATACTTTTTAAAAGTATTTCATACCTACACATTCAAAAAGTAGGTACCTATTTAAAATATTTTTCTTTAATAATTGTATGAACCCTCCCCCTCCCTTCTGCACTGATACAATTGAGTGTATGCCACTTGAGAACTGATTGTAATTCATTATAATATAAGTTTGGTTTTGTTTTTTTTTAATATAATATTGATATGAACAAAATAAAAATAAATTTGATAAAACTAAATAGGTAAGCTATGCAAATTAATATTATATTTTTTGAAAATTATTTTAAATTTGTCTGCATTTGTAAAGAAGTATTAACATGAAGTGGTTTTTTATCTTTTAACAAAGTTTGTTTACGATTTTGATATCCACTTAACTATTTTTTGACGGTGATTATTTAAATAATACAAAACAAATATATAATAGACTAGCTGATCCCGCGAGTAGTCGGTAAAAAATGACAAATCTTATACAAATTGTGATCGCCTCATAATCTCGGTCATTTGAGCGCGGTCGCCGGTCATCAAGCCATCTCGGGTAGGTAAAAACCGTATGCTCAACAGTGTCGTCCGGGTCGACGCAGTATACGCAATAGCTGTCATCCGCCCGGTTGAACTTTTTCAGGTAGCTCCGGAAGCATCCGTGCCCCGAAAGCACCTGCGTCAGTCGGAAAGTCAGGGTTAGCAGTGGCTTTGTTAACCAGCGCCCAACGTCAGGGAGGAGCCAGTATGTCCATCTGTCTTTATCAGACCGGTCCCACCGAGCTTGCCAAGCTGCAATGCTGATTATTCTCTCTTGTTTTTTTTACGGTGCTCGGGGCGACGTCAGTCTGTTCGTCCAGACGAACCCGAACTCTAGCCCTTTCTGTTGTTAGCCGGTCTGCAGGTAGCATTGAGGCCAATACTGACGAGGCGTCGGCCGAGACTGTCCTGTAAGCATGTATTGTGCGGAGTGCAACGGTCCTCTGCGCTCTTGCCAGTTCTGCGCGATTCTTAGCCGTTTTCTTAGACGGCCCAGGTCGGCGAGGCGTACAGCATCTTGCTGTTTGCCACAGTGCTAAGAAGCGCTCTTTTGCTTTGCGACGGTCCACCGAGGTTGGGCATCAGTCTGCCTATGGCTTTCGCTGAATCGGTAGCCTTGCGGGAGGCCTGTTGTATATGTTTGGTGAAGAGAGCCGCGTGTCGATCTCGACGCCGAGGTATCGCATTGACCGTTTGATAGAAATTACGTGTCCTTCAACCAGAAGCTCCGGGTTGTCGTATTTGTTTTTCCTTGTCAGAACTACGGCCTCAGTTTGGGGGGGGGGGCTAGCTTCAGTTCGTTTTGTTCCATCCAAGCCGATACCTTAGCTAACACAGGATTGAGCAGGGTAGCGGCTGCTTCGCCTGTGCGGGCGATGCCTATGACGCACACATCATCGGCGAATGCCACGAGTTGGACACCCGACGGCGTTTCCATGTCCAATAAATCATCGTAAAAGACATTCCACAAGGCCGGTCGGAGAACCGAGCCCTGGGGCACGCCGCACGTCGTACTTCGACGCTGGAGTGTTTCGCCAACCAATATGGATCGATCCTGTAAGTAGGATCTTATCATTTTCACGAGGTACGAGGGTACATTCTTGACCCAGAGGGCATTATCCACCTTCTTCCAGGGAGCCGTGTTGAATGCGTTCTTCACGTCGAGAGACACGGCCACGCAAATATCCCGGTGCCGTGCCGCGCCTAAAGCTGCACAGTGTGCGGCGTTCAGCAGTCGTTCAAAAACGTCAGAAGTCGAGCTGCCTTGGTGAAACCCGTATTGGTTAGGTGATCTATGACCGGTACTATCGAGGTGCGTGTCGAGTCCGGCCAGAATTATCCGCTCTAAGAATTTCCCCGAAAAATCAAGCGGCTATAGCTGGACGGTTCGGCTGTCGGCTTGCCGCGGCCTTTGTGCAGTAGCACTAGTCTGGATTCCTTCCATCGGGAAGAAAATGTGGTGTTGGCCAAGCAGTTGTTGTAGACACTGAGTAGGGTGTTAGGCTACCGGAGGAATACCTTGGCTAAGACTTCGTTGGGGATACCATCGGGGCCGGTTGCCTTACAGGGGGGAAGTCTTTTACAGCCTTGGGCCAGTTCGGCCAGGGTGAAGTCTTCAACGGTTTCGTCTTCTGCGGTTGCTGGAGTGCCCAGTCCGTCGCTGGGGGGTTCGGGAAGAGGTAATCGTCAATCTCCGACTCCATGCCGCGGGCTTCAATTCCTGGACGTCGACGACCGATGCGTTTGGTGACGACTTTGTAGGGAAGACCCCACGGGCCGGAGTCAACGGATCTGCATAGGTCGGACCAGCATTTAGCCTGGGAGGATCTTATTGTCTGCCGCAATACCTTCCTCTTGACCGTATATGCGGTTCGGTGAACATCCAGTTGTTCGTGTGACTCTCGCCTTCTAGCTGCCCTGTGGTAGCTCCTACGCAGTCGACCGTATTGGTCGAGTAGCGCTGCAATTTCTTGGTTCCACCAGTTAGCTTGCCTTCTGCCGTGTGGCGGTGGTGCCCTAGGCGGCATGCATGCCTCGCAAGCAGATGTCAAGTATGAAATGAGCTGGTCAGCAGCTTGATCAGTGGCCATGTTTTCATCAGTAGCGCGCAGTAGTGCTGTTGCCAGGTGTGAAGTTAGTGCGTCTATATTGAGCCGTCTGTAGGCCCATCCCCTGAGGCGTTCCGGGGGGATCGTCCTGATCAGGAGTCCGTTCTAACCGGAACTGGATGTATCTGTGGTCACTCGCCGATTCGACTTCGTCCATGACTCTCTAATGGGTGATCCAAGAAAAAAACCAGAGCGTGATTGAAATCTATTTCAGTTGTTTACAACGCCAAAGACACAAAATAAGAAACTGGTAATACTGATAACTGATAAGCAATAAAATTAAAAGAAATTTATTGCTCATGAATGTATTTATAGTTAGATACCTATTGATTAAAGAATGAGCAGAATGAGGCCGCAATGTAGATATCGCTACTTAGATAGGCAGACTTCTTAGGAAGGGGGTCTAGGATTTGGCCCTTTAGGATTTTTTCACGGTCAGGTTATTGTTAGGCAAGTCTTTCAACAACGATATAATTATATTGCAATAGGAAATGCCTCAGATTGTACTCGGACTTTCACGTCGTGCTCGGTGGTAACCTAAGGCTCTAAACAGAACAAGCCACTAGAGCAGACCATGGTTACCGGTTCGTTCCGTTGCACCGGAGACCGCTAAATCAGTGAAAATCACTAAAATTTCGAAGAAAATCCATACTGTTAGGTACGGAAAAAAACACGACTGAGTGGAATTCTGAAAATTATGTCTACTGACTATAAGATAGATAGAATTGTCTGGAAATAATAGCCATATTACCCGGCCACTTTAGGTTTAAAAGAGTATTATTTGGAGGGGGGGGTAGATTACAAGTATGTCTCGAAAGCTCTCTTTTAAGCATGTAGGTGCTAATTAAATAAATAAAAATTGAAAAATACATAATTTAATACGAATACTTGCCAACTGGTTCATAGTCTTCTCTTGTTTTATACATATGTTTATGATAGTGTAAATGGAATCCAATTTTTCCTAAAAACATAATCATTAACATGACTAATTTTAAGTTGTTGTAAAATAACGTTTTTAACATTAATATATATTTTTTTATTGTTTCATTTAAACAACTTTTTTAAATGACTTCATATAGCGGGCATATAATATATATAGTACTATAGTTTAATATACTTCAAGCCAAGAGGTATAATATAATAGCCAACTGTAGGTAAGTACATAAGTAAATATTTGATGACAATTTATGAAAGATATATTTTCTAAGAGAACATAATTTAAATATATTTTACTAATAGAATTTTTTTTATATTATATCGTCTAGATTAGATACAGTTAGTAACATTTAAACAGTTATAGTTGAAACAGTTGCAGTTGAGGGTAATCCTCAATAATGCGACATAATTTATTACTCATAAGTCATAACTCATAAGTGAAAACTAAAGCTCGGAGTTCGATGCATTTGTTTTTTTTTCTCCTATCTTGACTTTATGCTTTCCAATATATAAATGATTTTCAAATCACACTATGCTAATAACAAACTTTTTTTGGAATGTTTTAGGTAATTACTTTTTTTTTAAACTTATTTTTAGAAATATTCCAAAAAATAATGAAAATATAATATCCAAATTCACAAATTGTACCAAAAATATATAAGATAATCAGGTTTTTAAATAAATTGATTCAGAAATATATCTTGATTTCTAAGGAAATCCGGGATCAATTTCGGGGAACTATTTTAGGAAATCTTCTAGAGATGATAGGTCATAATTTAATATTTTGAAATACCATTTTCCAATTTATAAATCCGGCATTTAAATTCAAGCCCTAGTTGTAAGTACTGTACTTGTAACTCATAAGTCATAGAATAACCACTGAGTCTAATAAATAACAAATTTAAAGCTATTATGAAACTTTTAAACCCTTCATATAACGATATAAGTACTTGAGTACTTCTTATTAAATACGTTTTTAAATATTATCAACCATTCATTTTTGTTGTAACATACAATATATTAACGTAAAATGTAAAAAGTTTGCACTAAAAAATATTAATTTTTAAAATAAATTACCCATCATCTTCATTCTAACTAAATATGACATGTAATTTTCATGGTTGACTACAAATTCTAAATATAAAAATAAGATCTTTAATATTTTATAAATCTAAAAAAATTATTATTTAAGAAGGGTAGAAATCAAATTATTGAATTTGTATGATATATAGGTATAGTTATAGGGATGTATAGGCAGTTAGACAGTGTGTTGTCTGAATGGAACTACTTTCAGTGGCGTAGACAAGGGGATTAGATCCCCCATTGGCTTTTTATTATCTTAGTATAAAGTTTTGAGAGGGTGGGGGATTTTCCAATTTTCTGCTCCCATTTAGCTATGTCGTTTTTTTTTTGATCCCCCTCCCCTTTCAGAAATCATGTCTACCCCACTGACTACATTAATTATCAAAAACATAACCTTATACAAATAGGCACATCATAATATCAATATTATAATACAAATAACCAGTGCCGATCCTACATCACTATATTTTATATATAAAGTAATTAAAAAAATTAATTTAAATAATTAATGAATTCAATATTTAAAACCTAATGCAAGTTACAACAACTTCATCATTATCTTTCTTCATCACTGGTAACAAATATTTGATTTTCTTACGGAACAGTAATGATTCTGGTGTTGCTCTGGTTGGTTGTTCATGGGGTTTTTGTACGGTACGGCAATAAAAATTCTTCTATCACTATTCCTTTCATTTTCCACTGAGTTGATGTTTTGATTACTTTTCCCAAAGTCCTCATGAACTACTCAACAGTACCATTTCCTTGTTGCCACCGACATGTTACCTTCCTGTGACTGACCCCTAGTAATATCACAAATATTGAGAAAATTGATACCGATCATCGGTGTTCCATTGTCCGTTTTGAGGACTTCAAGTAGTCCGAATTGAACGAACATTTTATTGAGCAGTTGTGTTACTGTATCTGTTTTCAAATAGCTGAATGGATATTTGGAATACTCATCAACCACAAATAATATGGATTTTCCATTGGGTTAAGGCCCTGAAAAATCCATATCTAGTTGATCCCATGGCTCTGAAGGTAATTCTGTACTTATTATTGGGTCTTTTGAGTTTCTTGATGTCACCATTTGACAAGGTAAACATGCTCCGATCTCTTCTTTCGCAATCTAGTTCATATTTTGCTGCTTCGTAACATTTTAATTTTGTTATGCAATTATGTCCTATGTGGGCCAAACTCATCTACCTTTTCCAAACTGCCTTATTATAACTCTCTTGTTCTGTTTCAGCAAAACCATTCAATAGCTAACTCATTTATGAATAGCTTGTAGTTTGAGTTGAACCTATTAATTTTCATTAGTGCATCTTGATATTTTTTATTTCCTCATCATTGTTTGTATGTTCAGCTGTTTCTTTTCTAGATAATATGTACGATTTCGCTTATTTTACTTTTTACATAATACGATTGCGCACGTTTTAACGGAACAATAGAACATATATTTTAGGCCAAATGTAAACTCCTATACACGAATAAAATTTTTACTTGAAAATCAATAATACTGTAATCTCCTACATGGATATTTTTTCCTGCAAAAAAAATAGGGTAATATCCTACACTCCGACATTTTATTTGAATAGAAGATTTTGGTATTGAAAAGCTCAAAAAGCTAAAAATTCATGATTATAATGTTATTGTAATATTATCATATCAAAATGTTGTCAGGGTAAAATACAAACACTTGATTAATGATTCATTTTAATACTTTTATTATTTAAATTTTTATTTATATATTATATATGAATTGATTTTTGTATAATATGCATTTATGTATTGTAAGACATATATTTTATTTTTAATGTCAAAAATACTAAGACATATTTTTTTCTACTGATTTGTTTTTAACATAATTTCGATTTTTTTTACCTGTTTACCTAAGTCATTTTGTTTTTTAATATTTAATAATGTATGGTAGTTAAACGATTTAAACTGGATGAAATTATTAAATTTCATAATTTATATAAGTACATATGCTAGGAGGATACAACAGCGTTATCAGCGGTACCCACTTGTATACGGTTGTAACTGTTTAATCGTGTACTCTTTTATCTTCTGCATAAATCAGGACATCATCACTCACATTTATTACGTTGGAGATTGCAACAACTGAAACTTGTCCGATGGTGTCCTGAAACAGTTTAGCTGCTGAGTTTACTCCAAAGCTCAATCGTTTGTACCTTCTTAAATCAACGTGTGTGCTAAACTTTGTGACGGCCTTTGAATTTTGGTATAACTCTAAATGATAGCTCTCATTCAAATCCAATTTTGTAAATCGTGTGAAACCATTAATTTTATGTATTACCTATATCATCTAATGTGGGTGTTACATGCCAAAACCTGTAATCGTTTCATTTGCACTTCACATAGTGACACCCATGGTGTTGGTTCTGTTACCTTAATTATACCACTTTTTTCTTATAAACTTTTCTTATTCACTTTTCTCTATTAATTTCTTCTTCAAATGATTTTCTTAAATGCATCGGTATTCGCTTATGATTTTGTGCTACTGGAATATTGTGTTATTGTATGTAAATTAATTTGAGTACCTTTTGACTTTCCAAGTCCTTTAAACACTTCTGGAAATCTGTTTATGTATGATTCGCCTTCTTGATTCTCGTCCAGTGCATTTACCCGCGTGCCAATTTTAAGTAAGCACAGCTTCGTTCTGGTACCATATCCAAGTAGTGCTTAACCATATCCTTGTATCATATAAGAATTTAAACAAATAGTTTTTGATCTACGGCTTGATTATTTGTATTATAGTTTAAACTGTTGCCACGTTTCTTCTGATAAAATACTAGCAACTAGGCTCAGAATCTACCAACAACTTTATTGGTACACTACTTACTAGTTTACTACTTACTAATTACTTTACATGATGATGATACATATTTGATTTTCTGTTCATGCTTATTTAATCTCAGATATGACACATAAAATATTATTAT